TCGGTCCATCTTGCTACACTGGGCATGCTCACCGTAGCCACCAACGTGATGACAACGTACGCACTCCATAGTAGACTCGACACTTAAAACTACGTTAGTGTAGGTAATAGCAACAATCATTCATACTATAGCATAGAGATTATCAGATTGCGTGCATCTCTATCAAAAAGGCCAACCCAATCACCATACTAGACTACACCAATCTTCTCCTTGGCCATTGCTGCGCTCCAACTTGGCCTAAATCTCTCTGAAGAATTGCTCACGTTATTCGTTCTCTTTAAGCTTTATTCCTTTCTTCTTCAAGACAGTAAACGAGTCGTTATTGAGCTCTTTGCTTATTCCATTCTATACTGAGCAACGCTTACCAATCCAATACAAACTCACTGAGTTGGTTACTTCCACCAGTCTGCATTCCACCACTTGGTTGCCACAGTGATCGTAAGTTGAAAATTCGCTTTTCTGCAATACTGCATGATAGTGTGGGTCTATTGCCCCATTTTGACAGCCTTTTCCATGTTATTGCAATGATACCATGGATAATTTGCACAATTTTCACCTACTTTACCTGCATGCTACTACCATGGGCATATTGAATGTCTCTGCGTATCCTGGAAATAAAATGATGATCCTTTGCTGCATGATAGAACTACGATTAAACATAGTCCAATGAGACATCATGACAATCAGTCCAGTTGAGAATTATACTCTATCCTAACAATCCGCAACACAAGTTGACATCATTTCATTTACATTACTACTGCAATGACAAATGATGATATACTGAATATAAAATGATGATCCTTTGCTGCATGATAGAACTGCGATTAAAAATAGTCCAATTGGACATCATGACAATCAGTCGTGATGATATACTGGATATCTAGATGTATCCTGGGCATAACATGATGATCCATTGCGGCATGATATAACTGCGATTGAAAATAGTCCAATTAGACATCATGACAATCAGTCCAGTTGAGAATTATACTCTATCCTAACAATCCGCAACACAAGTTGACATCATTTCAATTTACATTACTACTGTAACGACCAATGATAATATACTAGACGTATCCTGGATATAAAATAACGATCCATTGCTGCATGATAGAACTGCGATTAAAAATAGTCCAATTGGACATCATGACAATCAGTCGTGATGATATACTGGATATCTAGACGTATCCTGGACATAGCATGATGATCCATTGCTGCATGATATAACTGCAATTAAAAATAGTCCAATTGGACGTCATGACAATCAGTCCAGTTGAGAATAATACTTTTATCCTAACAGTCCCCAACACAAGTTGACATCGTTTCAATTTACATTACTACTGTAACGACCAATGATAATATACTGGATATCTAGACGTATCCTGGATATAAAATGACGATCTATTGCTGCATGATAGAACTGCGATTAAAAATAACCCAATTGGACATCATGACAATCAGTCGTGATGATATACTGGATATCTAGATGTATCCTGGACATAGCATGATGATCCATTGCGGCATGATATAACTGCAATTAAAAATAGTC